CTGACTTTACAACTTACTCCCACGCTCTCTCTGCTAGGTACCAACGGGTCCTAGCAAACTGCCTACCTGGGTTTCTCAGCCTGGCTCTGCATATACCATTTCTCTATGTGGGCCATACTTCTTACCCTCTCTTTTTGGAAAAAAAAATTAATTTTATTATTATTTTAAATGAGAGAGAGAGAAAGAGAGAGAGAAAGACTGAGAAAGTGTCCGCCAGGCAGGACTTGAACTGCAGTCAGTCATGTGGGAGTCCAGCACCTTGACCACCATGCCACCTGCTGGTCTGATCCTACCCTCTTTATTCTCTTGTTCTGGCGGTTAGCTCAAGACTATTCTTTGAGCACCAGGGCTTGTGGATAAAGAGACTCATTCAGACCCAACTTCACAGTTTGTTTATGAATGTATTCTGCATATAGCCTTTCAAGATCTGTTTGTTTTTCTTCCTTAATTAGAAGTCCTGGTGTGCAAAGGACCCCATTTTCCCTCTGTCTTATATTTTTACCATTTAAGGGCCAAGTATATTGCCACAGACTTCATGGGATTTTTGTAAATGTTAGCTGACAATTTCTTGAGATATTTGTGGGCTTTTATGATCCTGTGCAGATTAATCAGAACATTTAATAATGCCTGTGGTGAGTGTAACACTTGGCAGTTAAGGGAGGGGCAAAGGAGGTGATTCTTGCTTAAGGACCCACATTACAGTTAGAAAGACAAGATTTATAGCCAGGAAGCAAACAAACAACCCACAAAAAAGTAGGCCACCAAAAGAATAACTAGGTTCTATAGGCTTTTATAGAAGGGCAGGTGGGGCGGGGTATGTGTGCCTTCACGGAGGAGGGAGCAAGCAGAGAGGACTTCCAAGAGGAGGCTAAATAGGCATGGTTTAGTTAGCGGCTAGCAAGGCAGGGATTTCAGGCCATCGAGTAAACACGAGCCAAGGCAGAGTCCGAAATGAGCACAGCATGCTCATGGGCTAATGAGGAGAGTGCTGACCACAGCGAAGGTGAATGGTGCAAAAAAAAACGATCAGGTCAAAAGCTGGCTAGAGGAGTTTAGGTTGGAGGTGGGAGGGAAGAGGAAACAACACTTTTGGTTTAGGGGAGTGACATGATGTTTTTATCAAATATAAGATACAGAATCTGTGGGAGGAAAATGGAGACAGGCGGGTGGGTCATGATCCAGGGGTGTGAGGTGGGACGCTGTGCACTGGGGTGTCAGCAGGGCTTCTGAAAATGCCATCGGTGCAGGTGACCACATCTGAAATGCCAGCTCATGCCTGTAAAGGGAGTGTTTTGTATATAAGGGCGTGGGGATTAAGGCCCCATGACAGAGTGCGGGTGACATAATTGGGTCATAGCAAATTTGGCTGATTTAGAGCTAAAATGTCTCATTCTAGACTTTCCTCATGTCTAAATAACTGTGTGTGTGGTTTTGGACAAGTCGGTTAACTTCTTGGTGTCTTGGCTTTGTCATCTGTAAAATATTACACAGTAATATTAATAGTACCTGTCTTGGCTTGTTATAAGAATTAAATGAGTTAATACATGTGAAGTGCCAGAACTGGAATCTGGCACATAGGAAGCTTTTAAAAAATATTAGCTATTCACATTACCTTAGGACTATAAATATTTAAATTACCCAGCGGGCCAAAGCCTCCAGAGCCTTGGTGAATCAAGGCACTCAACGGAAAAAGAAAAGCTCGTGGGAGACATTGCAAGATGGGCCCATTCAGAAGCTGGGGTGGAATGTCAAAAACTCCAATTCCATCAACTCCTTAAGATGTAAAGTCTAAGATCTGGAGACTCGAGTCACAATTTAAGCTGCCACTTTAGAGCGAAAATACCTTCACTGGCGGTCATGCAGAGAATCTGTATTAGCAAGTCGGCCAGCCAGCCTTCTTCCACTGGGTTTGAGGCAGCCTCCCCAGCTCCTTCCTTCTTACCCAGTCGTTGCCTCAGCACAAACTGTCCTGTTCTGTTCTTTTTCTTTTCTTCTTCTCCTTTTTTTTTGTTCTTTTCTTTCTTTCTTTTTTGGTCAGTGGGTGCATGCACTTTTCAGAGAGAGAGAGAGAAACAGAGACAGGGAGAGGGAGAAGAAGAAAGCACCCCCTCCAGTGGGATGTGGTCACCCCACAATCCCTTCTCCTCCATTTCTCCATCATATTGGGACTTGGGGCATACAGGCACATGTGGTAGGGGTGTCTCTCAGGGGCCAGGATTCGAACTATGCAGTTGGCCATGTGGGATCCAGCTCCCTTAACCACTAGGTCATGGGGCTGGCCCATGTTTGTTTTCAAACAAATGCTACCCTGCTCTTTAATCTCCCTTGTGTCTTTTCTCAACTCCTCAAAGCACATTCTTCTTATGCCATGTATGATTATCTAATTAGTCGTGTGTTTTTATACTTTATTTAAAAATGTTAAGGTTATATATTTATTTGTTCCATGTTCAAGAGAAAAATATAGAGGGAAAGAGAGAGAAAGCAACACACACAGAGACTGCATCCCCAAAAGGGTGTCTCCCCCTCCCCCCCACCAGCCTCAGCCAGCCCAGGATCACAGGCACGCGTGTGGGTGGAGTTCTCTGGGAGGTCTCCAGACTCGAGATCTCATGTGACCTCCTCACAGAGTGTCACGTTTTAACTGCTGCATCATCATGGTCCTCATGTTTTCAATATACTTTATTTTTAGAACAGTTTCAAGTTTACAAATTTCACAGGAAGTACAGAATTCCTATAGACCCCAACAGTTCTCCTCCACTAACACCTCGCACTAGCGTGGCAGGTTTGCCATGACTGAGGAACCGGGACTGGCGGCCAGTTAGTAACTATGGTCCACACCGTACAGTAGGGCTCACCTGGTGGTGTGCACACTTCTGTGGGTTTTGACAAATGAATGATGGCCTACATCCATCACGACATGTCATCACAGCGTCATACTTCACTGCCTTAACTCTGCCCTGTCCACCATCCACTCATCCCCTCCCACCTTCAGTTTTTAACAGTTAAATTGTCCTCTTGTCTGTGAGGCTTTGCAGGGCCTCTCAGTTATAATGAATCTCTTTGATGTTTGCACGTACTTCCTTCATACCTGCCATAGCTCCTGTGTTCTGCCTGGTATGAGAGACGTAGACACGCTTTTTCTCTTTCACTAGATTGTCCACCCATCCCAGAGGGGCTGAGCCACGATATGTCCTGATGACACTGAGCCCGGACCCTAGGGTGCCTAATGAATTCTGAATGAACTGAACTGGATCATGAGCAAGTAGTGAGGTGGGATTTTGTAGAAAATGTCTTGAGACGCCAGGCTTTCAATCTGGAGTTCTGAACGTGACATGTGTATGTACTTGTGAATTCCATACGTGCCTGATGGATGGGAAAATTCTTTGCTGGACCTGTCTTCTATCCGTTCCAATTCTGGCACAGGCCAGCTTTATATTACTGCTAGGCCACAGAGCTATTTCCCTGCTTCTTGTCTCTCCAAATAATGAAAGGAGAGGGAGAAAAAAAGGACAGAGCCTGGTCGTTGTATTCTTTCTGCCTAGACACCTCTTTCCGGAAGGCCCTGTAGAGTCTGCTATCTGTTCCACACTCTCTCTTCCCAGGTACCTCCCAACAATTGAGAATGGCCAGTGTGTTCTCTGGGCAACAAGCACCCTCCCATCAGCATTACTTATTTTCTTAATTCACGTAGATCTTTTTGCTTTAAAGACACTGTTCTCAAATGTCCTAAAATGCTGTAGGAACACACAGATCAGAACAAAAGCAAATAAATCCAGTCCTGCGAAGTAACATAACATAGCAGACGCCCTTCTCCAACAGCCTGCAGAAAACTAAATGAAAGCTGTCAGTCATCCACAAGATACTGTATTTCCCCCTCTAGACAGGAGCGGCCGGCCGTTTGCAAACCTCCCCATCCCAAACAGGAGACAGCGAGGGCATCATGAAACACACTAGTTTCCTTAGCTTTCAGTCCGGGGTCAACAGCTTCAGCTGCAAGGTCTATTCCTTTGAGCAACACTAGAGGTTTGAAAGACCTTGGCTTTTACTTCCCTTTACTTGCTTCCAAACACACCTGGGAGGTGTGGGCGAAGATAGACCCCCTTCCCCTAGAGGCCACGGCAGCAGACCGGGTTGGGGAAGGAAGGGAGGCGCTTGGAAACCAGGTTGGAGCTTAAAGGCAGTTACCCGAAAGCGCTCTCTAGAAGCTAGGCTCCGCCGCCCCCTCCCCGCATCAGAACGAACTGGAGGAAAGGCGGGCGCGGGGCGAAAGGGTACCTGGCGGGCGGGTAAGGAAGCCAGCAGGGCCGGCGGAGGATGCACTTCCCCACCGTAGAGACCAGCGCCGCTAGCACCTGTGCTCCCAGGGGGCGGGGCCTCCTCCAGGTGTGCGGAGAGGGAAGGCGACGCCTAGCACCCAGGCGGGCCTCGGCAGCCAGAGGGTCCCCCA